AGTTTCGCTACAAGTAAATGAGTTTCACAACTTATAGAATCATTCATAAATAGTTTGAAACGACTTATGATTGATCCATATATTAGAATTTTGGGAGATACTACGGTCTCATTACGAAACAATTTCTTCGGGATTTGTAACAGTTGGATCAGTTATCCCCGACAGTTACATGATGTAACGATTACAAACCCCAACGGAATGGTTCTGTAACGTGACTGTAGCATCTCCCATTGTGTATGCAGTGTGGAGATGTATCAAGTTTTAAATTTCACGTGGTGAAATTGTCTGTCTATTTGTGGATAGATGATTTGATATGCTTTGATTTACCTTGTCTGGGAATAAAATCTGTCCACGGTCATGATGCTTGGACTAGGTGAAATTACAACAGCCAAGGATCAATTGATTGGGCTGGATGGTTTACCTGCTCCCAAATGTCATTGTATAATTAAGACACGATCTTTTATCCACAGACACACACACACACACACAAGCATATTTATCCTCCATTTATCTTTCCGGGAGATTCTACCGTCCCGTTACGGAACCATTCCGTCGGGATTGTCCGGTAATCAACTATTCACGACAGTTACAAATCTCGACGGAATGATTCCGTAACCAGATTGTAGCATTTCCCCTTATCTTAAATAGGAAACCCATAAACTGCAACATACATTTGTATCATTCTATCTCCCACCACAACCACAAGAACAATCGTTAATGAGGAACCCGTTTTCCCCAAATTCAACCTGAGTAGGGGAAATGATAAGAAAGAAATTCAACCTGATTAGAGGAGGTCATCTAATATCGAATCCATCTGTAGAACTCACTTCCCTTCCCCCAATACCGAAAAAGGGATACCATATCTGTTAAGTCGTCTCCCGTATTTGGATGACTCAACCTAAAAACCGAAGATAAGATATTAACTTCACACAGTATGTAATGAGGATAGACTACAAACTAATATACTGGTGGATTAAAATTATAAATAATTAAGCCCTCCTAATGTTTTGCCTCCATACAATTTGCCCGCAGGATGGGGAGTATTTTGTCGTTCTGAGAAAACAAAAATAATTTTTACCAGAAGAACGGAAAATATCAGAGGGTAATTTTTGTAATTATCCCTATGTAGTAAAAACAAGTTGACGCAAGATCATACCCAAGAACTAAAGAATGAAGTTAGGGTCTTTGGTTTAACTAGTTGCAAAATTTGGCGATGGTGGCTGGCTGCGCTCTTTTGACTGAAGCAATGACATGGCCCTGCTCTTAGCTCCTCATACACTTCTTCTCCCAATAGGGAGATACCAAGATACTTTGGTGGGCTTGGATCTAACTCAAAAATACATAATCATCCGATTCGCTAGTGCATCCCTGAACAGTCAATGCAAAACAATAAAAGGGGAAGAGCCAAATAAATCTTTAAAAAATGAATCAGTTTTCTAGGAAGCAGACGAAACCTTCAGTTTTTATTTGTAGAGTCCAGTTGATACATGGACACAAGTTAGCGAACTCAAGTTTTGAGATAGACGTATAAATCCAAGTAAAACAAAATAAAGGGCAACAATGTACCGAAAAAATGAGACCTTACGCGATCTAACCTCCATTCGACCAATGCACAACCACCACCGGCGTGTATTTCATTTTCTTTGTACCTGCAAGTCGCAACAAAAGTTCTATTGCTGATCAAATGTATGTGTACTGTATGTGGTAGGAATTCACCCTGTGCGAGCAAACTCAAAGAAACATATAGATAATTATAATATCCAATTGGTTAAGTGGACACCCATACATGTTAACAAAACATCAAATGTAGTTCTTGACCAAAAAAAATATATAAACATCATAAGCAAGATGCTGACGAAACTTCACAGCAATAAGGTAAAAGCCAAATCTGAAAAAGGTTAAAGACTAGCACAATGAGAACTCACACAAAGGTCCTCAGGGTAGATTTTCATTAGCCCAAGTCCAAAAGGCCATAGTAAATGACCCTTTTCACATGTTAATGCAACTGAAAAACATTAAATTCAGTACGGAAGGTTCTTGGTATCCAAGAACTCAATCACCAGTAATCCCCACATGAGCAGTCTCCATCTTTGAAGTGGTGATACCGATTTGTGTCTCGGACAAAAATTTCTCTTCTCTCAAATCTAGATATAAATTTTATAACAACATGGCAATCTCCACAGATCCTCAGGTTCTTTGTAACCCTCAAAGTAGACCCTTGACTAGTATTCAGGAGACCAAAAACTACAGCCAACTTCTCACTGTGCCCACATAAGATGTGCTCCTTCTCTTGTTCCTCAACATCTTGTAGAACATCGCTTGTGTGTCTCAAGTAACCTGCTTTCTCCATTTCTATGCTCAGTTTGGCCAACTTATCCAGAATTTGAGCCATTTGTGGAAGTGATCTGTCACCCGCCAAAAGCATGTATACTTTGTTTTTTATCTCGATCCAACTGCAGCCAGGATTCTTCCTCATCCCCTTATCTCTCATCATATCTCTAACTTTATCCACTTCTTCCCATTTTCCTTTAGAAGCATAAATATTAGACAGCAGAATGTAGTTTCCAGGATTCCTTGGTTCTAATTCAAACAATTTACTCGCAGCAACCTCACCCAAGCTCATGTCATGATGAAGTCTACAGGAACTTAACAATGCACCCCAAACGCAAGCATCAGGCTCGAGCGGCATTTTCTTGATCACGGAATAGGCTTCTTGTAGTTTTCCGGCTCGACCAAGCAGATTCACAATACATGAATAATGCTCTACTCCAGCTTCAAGACCATAATCCTTGGACATGATTTCAAAATAGTATTTCCCTTCTTCTGTAAGACCACTTTGGCTACATGCCGATAAGAGGCTGATGAAACTAAAGGAATCGGGTTTTTGACCATTTCTCTGCATAGACTGAAAAAATTCAATAGCCTCTTTCGCCTTTCCATGCATTGCATATGCGCCTAACATTGCGTTCCAACAAACCAAATTACGAGCAGGCATATTGTCGAAATAGAATCGAGCAGCTTGGATCTTACCACAATTGGCATACATATCTATCAGTGCACTACCTACATAAAAATTGTTCAAAATGTTCCTTCTGACAGAAAAGCAGTGTGCAGCCTTTCCATGCATTAGTGCTGCAATATTTCCACAAGCTGGAAGCAAGCAAGGAATGGTTATGGAATTCGGTCTCACACCAGCAGACTGCATTTCTCTGAACAGGTTCAGAGCCTCCATATCTTTACCGTGTTGTGAGCAACAAGCTATTACTGAAGTCCATGAAATGACATTCAAATCCATTCCTCGGACTCGAAGGTCTTCAAATACCTTAAGCGCCTGGTCAACGAGCCCATGTCTAGCAAGGCCTCCTATTAAGGCATTGCAAGCCCCAACATCCCCTTGGCTAATATCCTCAAACGCTCGCATCATTTCTAATACACTGCTGCATTTACTGTACATATTAATAAGTGCACTAGCAATACACTTATCGACAGCAAAGCCGGTCTTGATCACATACCCATGAACTTGAGTGCCTATGCTTAAATACCCCAGATCACCTATTGCAGGAAGAACACTAGAAATGCTAGTCCCATCGGCTACAAAACCATGTGAAAGCATCTTCTTGAACATCAAAACTGCATCGAGGAAACACGCACTCTGATTGAATCCTGCAATCATACCATTCCAGGAAACAATATTCGGTTCAAACCCAAGATTAACCTCACCGAATACCTTGTTCACATTTTCCACATCTCCTTTCCTCGCATAAGCAGCAACCAACGCGCTCCATGAAACAACATCTCTCTCAGCCATTTTATTGAACAGCTTGTGAGCACCATCTAGGTCTTCACATTTCACATAAAAATGGAGCAAGGAAGACTCAACGAAAGGATGCATGGAGAGCCCGGACGACAAACAAAATCCATGAACTTGCTTTCCGATTTTATCCATCAATAGTCCGGCACAGGCCTTGATAATGCTTGGAATAACATGGGCATCAGGGTCAAGCCCACTTGTGAGCATATGAGAGAATAAACTCAAAGTGTATCTAAAATCATTACATTTGGAAGATGCATTAATTAGTGTAGTGAATGAGAGAAGATCGGGTTTTGTGAGGGAACGGAGAAGGTTTTTTGCATCCGAAAAATGGTTGTAGTTGGAGTAGAGCGAGATGAGCTTGGTTCTACAATGAGGGAGGTGGTCACAAAGACCTGTTCTAAGCAGTTGAGCATGGATCTGCTGAACTTGAGAAAGTGATGATGGGGTAGTTCTATTTAGAAGATGCAGCAGATCTGAATGAATGACAGAACGAGCTCCAGTTCCAGTGGTACCAGTGGCGCTTGGTATATAAGAGGTTCTAGAGAAGCCTCTGGAATCAGTTATTGAAGCTAGCGAGCTACTGTGGAATGAGGCTTTATCATTTACATTACGAGTCAATATCCCCCTGCAGAAAAAAAATCATGCCAAAACAATAACTAGAGTATCAACTAAGTCTAAAGGGAAAAAAAATTATAACATGTACTAATACACTTTTGGTATAACATGTACCAAAAAATAACTAGAGTATCAAAAATCATCACATTACGAGTTCATCTTGATTCTTGACCACAAAATCATCAAGAAAACCACACACGTGTATGATCAAGATAAAATCCAGGTTGCACTTTACCCAAAAATATACTTGAGGTTGCAAAAGCCAAATGCATATTACATGTTGCAAATTTTCTTCTCCCCCAACTTAAAAATAACAATCACGGTATGCACGTGATATGACATTCAAGGACACATCTCAAGCAAAGGTGCAATTGGATATACATTCTAAACAGAAATGAATTCTCAACATTGATGTTGGTGAATTTTTTGTTAAAGCGGGAGAGAGTGAAACATAAATTTTTTAAGAGTAATGCTATTTTAGCCCACTTGGATGACAACTTGGGTTACAACCCAAGTGTAAATGCATCAAAAAAGTAAAATAATGCATTTACACTTGAGTTGTGTAACCCAAATTGTCATCCAAGTGGGCTCTCTATAGCATTACTCATTTTTTAATATATTCAATCTACTTCTTCTATCTTTTATCATTTTTATTTGATCTATTAAAAAATAACTTTGGAGAATACAATCTCCATTCTAGACAATCCATCGGTAGAATTGGAAGGTGTTGGAGGAATAATAGTTAGTGGAACAATTAATGTTTTTCCAATACAAATTGATGTGATATAAAGTATAATATTTAATTGTGATGTGATCAGAAAATTGTAAAATAATGATTGATAGTTCTAGATATGTGAATGGGTAAGTAGTAAATATATATATAT